AATATCCTTCTAAGATATTTTTCTTCACATTCATTAAATTTATTTAATTTACTCAAGATAGGAATTAAAATAGTATAAGTGCACTTGTCTTGATTAATAAAGCATTATTAAATGTCTTACTTATTGGTATTTACTATTAGGAAGTTTATGTCGTTTCCTGCAATCATCATCTTTCACGATTAAAAAAAAAAAAAGATATATTTTTTGTATATATATATATAGTTAGAAATGTATTGCTTCAGACTCTGTATCAAATTTGCAAAAGAAGTATATAAACCGTTAAATCTAGAGACTGTTCCGTATGCAAACAAAAACAAAATAAAACCGCAAACAACTGAAGCACCCGAAGCAAAGAAATGTCAAGCAGAGGGACACGGGATCACTCGTCCCACGGCAGGACCACGTACAAGGGGAGATGGGCAGAGATGTCCGGTTATGGCGTTCGCTGGTTTTGATAGCTTTTCACGAAAGACTTTTAGGGCAAAATTTAATGAGTCTGGCCTTCAGCTCTGTCGTCTTCCAGATCATGTGCTTCCTTTTTGGCCTCCCCTTCCTTTCCCTCCTGTCTGGATGCAGGGAATTTGTCCTTGTTGTTCTCCTTTTTCCATTTCATCCTCCTGTTCTGAAACCAGATCTTTACCTGCCTCTCGGTGAGTCCTAGTGCGTGGGACACCTCAATCCTCCTCTTCCTGGTCAGATAAGGGTTAAAGAGGAACTCCTTTTCCAGCTCTAGTGTCTGGAATCTGCTGTATGTTTGTCTTCCTCTCCTCCTACCCGGCGCTGCTGTTTAAAACAAAAACACAGGGTTTTGGAGGTTGGCCTGGCCGTTCAAAACAATGCGCAGGCAGAGAGCGAAGGCTCGGGTCCCTCTGGAAATCCCTTGAGAGAAGCCCCACAGAAACGCAGTGAGAGAAAGCAGAGGGCTTTACGCATGAGTGCGGGAAAAATAGCTATCGCACGGATCACCACAGCTCTTCTCCGCACAGCGGTTTACAGGGTCACGTTATTGTCCGGTAACCGGCACCCCGCACCCTTCCCCGACAAGCAGCGGCGGCGGGAGGCGGGCGAGCGGGTCAGCTGCGGCCCCGTGTCCCAGAGGCGACTTTAAGGCTACTCGTGGGGTGGTAGCCGCCTTCTGCAGAGGCTTCTGTTTGCTTATTGTATAGCTTTATTATCGCAAGCCACCGCGGCGGTAGGAATCGCAGGGAGAGAGGCAGGGAGAGAGGGAGGCAGAGGCAGGGAGCAAGAGGCAGCGGGAGAGAAGCGAGGGGAGGAAAGGAAAGTTTCAAACTCAGACGTGAGATGGAAGCAAATTTTTGTCTGCGTCCAACCTTGTGGTCTCATCCAGGGAAACATTTGAGCAGGAGACGAGCTCTGATTTAAGTGGTCTGGTTCCTCGCCAATATTAGCACTGGACGATTTACAGTCAGGATATTGTACCAGCTCGGCCTCTTGCTGTGTCGTAAAAATCTGCTGTCTCTGTAA